AAACCCACCAGCCACTCTTCGGAAGGAAGGTTGGGCAATCCTACTTCCATAGTGATACTGCCTCGGAAACCCAAGGAGGGGTCGCTATGAGTCGGGGGCGACTCGACGGCAAATAACAACAACATAGGTAGGAATCAGCGCCACTGTTACAAGAAGGGGTGGAAATGCAGGTTTCTTCTGGTTATTTAAAATATTTGGGATATGTCTTTTCTCTTTTTGTGAAGGTAAACATGGTCTTCCACCTTCAGAGACAGTAGACGTGGTGGAACACATAAATGCCAAGTGCCCCAGTCTGGAATTTGTGGGGCTGATGACCATAGGAAGCTTTGGGCATGATCTTAGTCAAGGACCAAATCCAGACTTCCAGGTACTCAGGGGCCAGGGGCCAGGGGTGAGGGAAAGAAGCATGTTAGTAAAATGTTGCATCCAGGCTTGCTGTTGTGTTAGCTTAAAAGACAATCCAGACGTTACCTGTCAGAGTAACCTTTTTCTGAAGAGTGTGCCTAAGGGAAGGAGAAGAACAGCTTCTCGGAAGCCAAAAGACCTTCCTCAGCTCAGTTTGAGCATGACAAGAACATAGTATTTAGAGAAAAGGAGCTCTTTCTTCCTCTCCAGGGACTGATCATTTTCTTAAAAGTAGGAGAGTTTCCTAAAAGCCCTTTTAGTAACTTCTGGCAAATTTGACAAGCCTGAAAACCATGGGGAATAAATCACCTTTGTCAGAGATGTTGAGATTCAGCCACTTTCAGGCTTAGAGAAGTCAGGAATAAAATAAGTGTCACACTTGTCTTTCTGTCAGGTGTTATTGTCCCTCCGGAAGGAGGTGTGTGCAAAGCTGAACATCCCCCATGACAAGGTTGAACTGAGCATGGGTATGTCCATGGACTTCCAACACGCAGTAAGTGTCCTTCTGCGAGCCCTTATCCACTTGGAAAGGCCTAGGTCTTTATGGGGGAAACTTCTGAAATGCCCCATTGTTGCAATAAGGCACCTGATAGCAGTGGTCCTCAGCTGTTCTGACACCGCCCACCCACATGCCCCTTCTGTCTTGAAATGAAATTCATAGAAATTATAGCCTATCTGATCATTTTTTAAATCAATTTAATCCCTTAAGTGCAGTATAAAGGAATAAGAAGAAGAAGGTAAAGTATCATTTTTAAAAAAGACATTTCAACATGGAAATGCTTGGGCACAGTTGTGTGACATAAAGTCATAATGTGGTGGACAGATGTTGAACTCCATGTGTTCATTCACCATGAATGCAGCAGCTGATAAAGGTGTGCTGTGTCAGCAACTCAAATACATGATTTTCTGGAACAGTAAGTAACTTGATCAAGTTCCAAAAATAAAGTATGAGCGTCTCTCTGTTTTTACAGTAGTTACATTCCTGGAAAATTGACTATATAGCAAATCAGTACAAAAATACTTCGTGTTTATAGGTAAAATGAAACCCAATCCTATGCCCAGATAGTTATAAACAGGTTTTTCATTTCCCTGACCACAGAACATTAGAAAGGAATGTAGACTGTAAGACTGTAAGACTTGGTTGTCTTGCTATTTCCCACACGTTACAGGACATCTAACATCACTAGCTACCACCCAGCTAAGTGCCATAGTCCTACATAATCACTGTGAAAACCAAAGAAGCCCTTCCTTACTTCTTAACCACCACCTCAGAAGAGGTATTGCCCAAATGGGTGCTGCTGCCCAGTAGTCATCTTCGGCTTCATTATCATTGTTCTTCACAGAAGCCTTTCGAGAGCCAGCATGAAGGGTGCAGCTTTCAGCAGTTGCTGCATTTCCTTATTTTAAAAAGAGTTCTCAGTTTTTTTTCCTCTTTCCCACAGATTGAAGTAGGATCTACAAATGTCCGAATAGGAAGCACCATTTTCGGAGAACGTGATTACTCAAAGAAACCTGGTGTGGACAAATCCGCAGCAGACCTGAAGGCCCCAGTGGACATGGCACTGGAACACTAACGACCCAGCTCACACAGCCTGGCAGCCCTGTGCAGGAAGACTTCACTATGCACTAACCTAGATTTTGATTTTGATATTTCCCATGTTAGATCACAGCCATGTTCTCTGTTTGACCTGAGCAAAGAGCACTATGATTATTTGTGTTGATGGAAATCATCTGTTCTTGGTCTCTGACATGGGAAGCTCACTTCAATCAGCAGCTTTGGATTGGACTTAAGGAATCCAGACATTTCTACAGAATGCATTCAATATTGATTCCTGCCCAGAAGCACCAATCAAATGCCTTTTTCAAGTGAAAATTTGGCCACTAATGCCTATAGTCACTGAAGCTGGATTCCCAATTGTCATCTCACTTTGATAGAAAGCTGCCTCATTGTTACCACCTTCGCCCAATCTTCTACTGATGAGTCACCTTTGCTGCTCTGGAATAAGGTGATATCTGCCAGATTCCTACCCTACCAATTTCAGTTTTATTTGAAGATACTCTATAATCTGGAACAACAGTATAGGTAACTTCAGAAAGTGGCTCCAGTTAATTGTTGCTGATAAGAGCTTGTGCATTGGCCACCCTCTGGTATTGACCTTTAAAACTGCAGGTATGGCATAAAAATAGGACCTGGGCCCTTCTGTCCTCCTGAAGAGACAAGATTTTGAGCTTTTTCCTCTGGGATCTGCAGTGATGGTAATTTAATGATACGATTTCTCCTCCACTATAATCCTCTTTATAGTGATTACTTATCAACAGACCTGTGAATCTCATTGCTCCCCAGAAATAGAAGATCCCTTCAAAGCCAGTTCAGGCACATGCTGTTTAATGAGGCCTGGCTTTGAGGTTCCTTTCCCTGAGGAGCACATTTCCAGACACATGTATAACTTCCCCACTGCATTAATAAGCCAGAATTTTGCAACTCTTCTTGATTGTCAAGAAAGTAGCAAGATCTTCAAAAAACCAGAAAGCACAACTCTCAGTCATGACCGATGGCTTCAATGTGTGTGCTGGTTTATTTTCTAGACTGCTTTTTCTCATTTATTCAAGCCCCAGTCTTTAATTTTATTAAAGAACTTTCAGAACATGATGCTGCTGCTGAATGTAATTTTGTAAAACAAACCATTATGATTCCTGAACTGTAGTTCAGAAGCTGTAGTGTAGTATTTCAGAGTCTAGTAAATAAAAATGTGTGTTTGCATTATACCATCTGTGCCAATTACAAAGCAATTAAAAGAATTTATTTTTTATGATCTGATGTAGTGAATGAGTTTCAACAGGAGGGGCCTCCTGCCAGCCTGCCTTTGGAGGCAGGCTTCCCTTGGGTCACAGACGCAGCCAAAGCCGAGTTGTGGACAAGCAAGGAATTTGGAACTAAGGGCACAAAAATGAAATGCTGACATTTCAGGAATTACAGAAATAAAGAAGCTACTTCTCACAGCAAAAACAAAATCAAACTTGCTGCAATCAAGCCTGAGGCAGTAAATCTTTACAGAAGTAGGTTGCCTAGTGTTCCTTCTGCAGAGTGGCTGGTGGGTTTGAACCACGAACCTTGTGATTAGCAGTCAAAAATGCCTTAGATTCTATGCCAGCAGAGCTCCTTGCAGCAAGGAACTCCTTTAAATTGCCTCTAGATGGCAACATTAGCTAACCTGAGGTGTAAGCCTTGGGCCTCCACAATCTGCAAGTCACCCTGAAAGGGATTCCATTGGTTGTGTTGTTTCAAGCCCTCTTTTTATAGGCAAAGATTGAGGTTAGGGTAAAGGTTGTTTTTCCCCAGATGGTTCTTGCAGCACCCCTAGGTCCTTTCAACTACCTCATTTCTTTGCTAACTTGGCTAAGGATTCTGAGAGTGACTGCAGAGAGGTGGAATGATTTAAGCCATAAAGGTCTTTCTCCCTTGTGCTTGGAGATTGAGAACAACAAAGAGAAGCAAACGAGCCTGAATCACATGCAGATAAGGAAAGGAAACAAGAACCCATAGCAGGCCAGGACATTTTCAGAGAGAAAATTGAGCAATGTCATGACTTGGTGTTTTGCTGCTCAGAGTAGGCAGCAGGTTGGGTTACTCCCTGGGTATTGCAAACAGTCAAACACTGGGGTACTAACCCAAGGTTGGTGGTTCAAACACAGGTGCCTCAGAAGAAAGTCCTGGCAATCTGCTTCCAAAGGAATCGACAGCTGTTTTTTGTTTTCATCAAAGCAGTGGCAGCATCCCACAGCAAGCTTCCTGAGCTAAGCCGCATTGCTTTCCTGGGTCAGACCCCATGCAATCTAGCAGTCTCTTAGATGAAACATCAGGGCTCTTACTTACCATGGTGCAGCCTCAGAAGACTTAGGATGCCCAGAGACCTCCCAGTAAACCATCAAGGCTTTGTCATCTTGGAAAGTTCTTCAGAGATTTTGCCTATTAGATCTCTTTAGAGGTATCCATTCATGGACAAGGGCACTGAAGCCCAGAGAAGGTTCAGTGCCCACCTGGTCTGAGGTCAGAGTGAATTGGTAGTGGGGCCCAGAAGTAAACAGAGGACTAAAACTTTAGCCTAGAGCTTGGTCACTACACTCATATCTTCTGTCATCTCAGACTTTAATCATTAATAAACAGCATATTCTTAAAATTGCAGGTTTAGTTTAAGAGAACCTTATGTACCAAAGAAGAGATTTGTGTTTTTAGTCTATTGCAGTAGATGAGAATTGACAAATCTGACTGCAGAACAAACTTTGAAACCACAAGCAGTAAGGGTGAAGAGTAGGGAGAGATGAAACCCAGAGCTGAGAGGACCAGCCTTCACCTCTTCCCTCCCTTCCCATCATTCCATTTCTCTAGCACACACACTCCTCCAGATTCAAACTATCCCACTGGCTGCAGGGCTCAGAGTGTGGAAGATTATGCCCTCCCCTCTGGTAACTAGATTGGCAATGAATTCTCCAATGCCAGATGCTGTTTGGGAGCTCTGGTGTAGTGCCTAAGGCATTTGACTGCTAACCAGAAGACTGGCGGTTCAAACCCACCAGCAGCTACTCGGAAAGAAGATTGGGCAATCTACTTCTGGAGGGGTCACTATGGTCACTATGAGTTGGATCCCACTCAAAGGCAGTGAGTTTGGTTTTTTTTTTTTTTTTAGATACTGTTTGGAGGAGTGAGGGAGAACAGGACATTCTAGGACACCTGGGGGTTAGTCCTTCTGACCTTCAGAAAAGAAGTGGCACTGTACTTCCCATCAAAACTTTGAAGCAGGAAGGACTCATTCTGCCAATTCCTGAAGGGCTGGAATAAGGGTAGAATGTCATCTGTGGTGCAATTGGAAATGATTTGCTCTGGGAACTGTGACTCTCTTTACCATGAAATCAGTTGAATGCTATTACATCAGCCTCATAATTAAGGGCAAAAGAATCCAAACAGTCCACCAAAATGTTTTACCAATCAAGCACATAGGTAAGAAAAAGCTTTTCCACCCAGTTTGCATCAATGGGTATACAGTATGGCTGTGTGTAGTTGAGTAGCTATTTACAAGGTAAACCAGTTGCCTTCAGGTCAATTCCAATTCAAGGTGACCTTGTGCATGTAGTGCCTAAGGCACTTGACTACTAATCAGAAGGCTGGACGTTCAAACCCTCCAGCCACTCCTCAGAAGGAAGGTTGGGCAATCTACTTCCGTAGTGATACTGCCTCAGAAACCCAAGCAGGGGTCTCTCTGAGTTGGATCCAACTCGATGGCACATAACGACAATAACACAATTGTGTATCAGAGCAGCACCATTCCATAGTATTTTCATGGCTGTGACTTTTTGAAAGTAGATTGCCATGCCTTTCTTCCAAGGCACCTCTGGGTGGATTCAAACCACCAACTTTTAGGTTAACCAAGTTCTTGGCTATTTATGGCACCCAGGAACTCCATATACAAGGTAGAGAGTTGTTAACCTTAAGTTCCTCCCCCTATAATCATATCGAGGTCCCAAAAAACCTCAGAGCTGACACTTTTTTTCCCTATAGAGTCCAGCACAGATGAGCTGAAATGGAGAGGACTTTTGGTACTTCTCTTTTATTTAGAAATAAATTTTACAAGCTTAAGTTCCTGAGCTCTGAGATCACCAGGGAGCAGAAGCCACCCTGTGAGTGCCAGAGCACCTTCTCAAACTGTTGCACTCAGGCCAGCGAGCTGGATGCACCCCACGAAAGTGTATGCCTACCCCGACCTCAAGAGCCATGCTGCTCTCCAGTTTGGGAGCTAAGCTTGACCCACCCAGCTGCCAATCTCCAAAATAAAATCAATGTGTGACATTATTCACCAGATGTACTGAAGAAACAAGCACAAACTAGGGCCAACTTTGAAGCCAGAAAGGGAAGATGAGAGTGGGAGAGAGAAAAAGAGGGGGGCAAAAAAACTTGGCTGGACATGAAAGGTGTCTTGGCTGTCTGTTCCCCATTAGGCTCAATTCTCTAGCAATCTGCAGCCTCGACATAATTCTTCTGACCAGAAACTCTCCAGAGAGATAGTGTCAGAAGGAAAAACAAACAGAATAGCATCTTCTGACAGCAAAGTCACTTAAAAACCTATTTGGGGGGTGGGGAGAGGAGAGATGTCAGGGGAGGGCACTCCCTCACAACAAGCCACATGTGGAGAGACATTTATCCTGGGACTGGACAAGGATGGGAAGAGGTTGATGAGCAAGGGCCAGGCCAGACCTGGAAGCACAACTTGAAATCTTTCTGCCTCCCAGCCCTTCAGATGCCTCAAGACCTGCCTTGTCTGGCTTTCTGAGCTGTGGACTCAACACTAAAGCTTATGGTGCAGGGCTTTTTACAACCCCATGGTACACTGTGAGGAATTTGGAAGTGTCCTATGAGAAAAAGTAGTCCACTTTCCCATTCTGACCACCACTAGCCACCAAAGGCTGAGAACCCAGCATCCCTGTGAGCTGGCAGCGAGCTCCCCAGGCAGCGAAGACCTGTTCTTTGCCCTGCCTTTGAGTTAAGCGGTCTAGTAGTTGGGATGCCTGACCTTACCCAAGC